ACCAGGTGTGCCAAAAAAATGTATACAAGTGGACATTTTGGTCAATGTTGCTCAAGCAGTAATTCGCTGTAATCAGAAGTGTCTGGACACTAATGGTAACCACTTTGAGCACCTCTTGTAATTGCAGAAGTCAAACGTGACTTGTATTCATCTTTTGTTATTGGTATATATCAAATATTATAATTTTAATAGCTTTCCTTTCTGAAGATATGTATACATTTTTTTGGCACCCTCCTGTATGTATGTGTGTGTGACACACACGCAGTCACAGGATATAAAGTACAGCATAGGGAAATATAGTCATGGCATTGTAATAGCTATATATGATGTCAAAGGGGTAGTAGTAGACTTGGGGTTATCACTTTGTGGGGGCGTAAATGTCTATTATGTTGTTTTGTACACCTGAAACTAATTTAAAAAAACCCCAAAATAAAAAAAAAATAAAAAAAAGTAAAAAAGAATGTTTTTCCTATCCTAGATTCACCATTGTAAGTATTAACTATATAGGAGCAGATTCTTTAACATTCATGGATTTTTGAACATGTTTCAACTATTCTTCTAGAAACCATGAGGTGTGTAATTTGAAACTCAGATGACACACTGATCTGAATCTTGTTCTGTGGAAGCCAGTCACCCAGTTACTACTGAGCAAGCAGGCTTAGCTCACTGCTCACCACTCATATCTCATTATAACTTGGTTGCTCTATATTTAGGATTGCATATGCTGGAACTAGAAAGAAATTTCTAAAAATCCTTTTTTTTTTTTTTTTTGTAACTAGACATTAAATGAGAGAAAATATTACAAAAAGCATAAAATGGAGTTACCGTGTGGGGTGGTTATATGTACATAAATATGGTTGTTAACCAAAATGATTTGGGACAAAAACAGGAACTCGTACAAAGACTTCTGTAGTCACGTTTTGGGGAATTTGCAAAGGTCTTTGGAAGTACCTTCTGAGAACATAAAGCGTCAGTTTATGTTGCACATGATATTTTGGTTACTTCTGAACTTTCTAATAGTCTAGATTTGGGCTCAAAAACCTCTAACAGATTCCTATCACACGTAAAAGAAATCCAAACCCCTACCATGCTTTACCAAATGAAAACGATCCGACACTTGTCTGCCCGTCGGACTTCACTCCCTACCGCACGTCACCCTTCTAGCCACTCTGCCTTCTGCCGGAACAACGGGCTCAGCTTGTTCCTGCCTCGGACTTCACACGGTTCCTTATGCTCACAACACTCCCCCCACATCTCCCCACCTTCTCTTTTCATTCCGGTCCCTGCTCTAGTGTCACCTTCTCAGAAAGACCTTCCTTGACCACCCTATTTCTAAAATGCTCCTCGTCTCATCACCTCCTAACATACTCTATCCCTTTATCTGGCTTTATTTTTCTTTACAGTACTTCCCACCTAACATACTGTTTATTCTCTCTCTCCTCTATTTTAATGTAACTTCCAAAAAGCAGGGACTCACGGCTATATCCCCAGAGCTGAAAGCAGTGTTTAGTATATGATAGTAACTAAAAAGCATGTTTGTAAGATGAATGAACGAACATGTTACATTTTTCTGTTACGTCTTATAAGGAACATTAAAAATGAGTAATACAGACTTTGCTTCAGGGAGCTTAAGACCTTTGCAGACTTTGAAGAGCAAATGTAAATTTGAGGAAGATGGCAAATGGGAAGTGTAGAATTATTTGGGCACATATAATGAGGGGAGTAAGTTCATTTAGCTGAGTTAAGGGTTCAATCAGTGAAAATTCTCCTTGGAAGTGACATGTAAGTTAAGACCTGAGAGATAAGTTAACTAAGCAAAAAAAGGTGGGAGGCAAGGAGAGATGTGTGGAGAGAGGATGAAGGAGAAGAAATACTGATGAAACAACCGACAATGAGGGCAAGGTGGCTAGAGACAAAATAGAGATGTGGGCGCAGCAGACTGGGAAAAGCCTTACAGGTCAAGAAGTTTGCATTTTTATCTTCTGAGCAATCAAGAGCTACTGAACAGTTTTTGGCCAAAGAGTGACCATCAGATTTGCTTCTTTTAAAAATCACTTTTAAAAAAAATCACTTTTTAAAAGCAAACAGCAGTCCTGATGAGAGATGATGTGGGTTGGACTAGGGCAGCAGCCACAGAGACAGACTATAGACCTGTCAGATTAATAAGGACACAGAATCAAGAGCCAGAGTGTGCTGACGGCAGATTCAGATTCAATTCTATATATCTGACAATAAGAGATGTTCTGAAAATACAAGGCAACAATGACATGAAAAGTTCTAGGAATTCAGTGTCATGTTAATATGGAAAGGCAGAGGAGAAAAATGGAAAGTGCAAGTCTTTGGGTTCAAATACTAACGCCACTATTTTCTAGTTGTATGCCTTTCGGGAAGTTACTTAAGTTTTCTGAGCCTCACTTTTCTCATCTATAAAGTAGGGATCACATATCCATTTTCAGAATTGTAATGATTGAGCCAAATAAAGTGTGCAAACTACCAGGGACATTGCCTGACAGACGCATAAGAATTAAAAGAAATAAAAAAATCTTTTATTAACACTGCATCACAGTGTAACACTGTTTTGTCAAACCCTCCCCATGTGTAGTTACATGTTTCGGGAAACATAAGGTAACCCAGGCTACTTCTATCTATGTTAGAACAAGGTCTACCAATATTACTTGAATTTTAAATGAATTAGAGTATTTTACTTCACTAGGGGAGTTTACATGTGAAGACTTTTAAAAATCTATTTTAATTGATCTTCAAAACACTAGAAAAAAACCCTCTAAATTATTGAAATAATACATTCTCACCTCTTCAAGGGAAGATTCCAAATTCATTCCAAAAGCAACTCCTATTAGTCCAAAGAGTGAGAGAGAGAAGGTTCCCATGGTCAATTGTAGGTTCAACCTCATCATCACATTGCGGTGGCTGGAAAGGAAAACACCTAGTTAGATCAAAGGACCAACTATACACAGCAAATCCACTAAATAATCTATTAAAGACAACATGGATTAAATCTGTACCTTAAAAAGAAAAAAAAGGCATACTTCCATGTAGTAGTTATAGATGATAATGACGGTATAAGCCCTTCCAAAATGACAGTTCCTTAAAAGCTTTATTATTTTATAATAATTATTTTACAAAGAAAACACTTAACTGATTGTTTCATACATTGCTTTCTTACCTGTCCAGATTGATGAATATAACACTTTGTGAATCGTCGATCAGTACCCTAAGTTCCCGAGCTGCATTGGAAAGGTCCTCAGCTAATCGGTAGTAGTTTTCCAGTAGCAACTCCATCTCTTCTGCATGGTCAATCCCAGTGCTGCTCTTTTCACTTCAATTACAAGAATTAACATAATTAACATGTTTCCAATATATGCATCATACATTTAGTACCAAAAAACTTCCTGAATTATTACATAATATCCAGCTACCAATGAAAAAACTAGCCCTTGTCTTCTCTATTATTGTGATTGAGGCAAATCCATAAGTGGCTTTGTTACAGATTCTAAACACTATACAGGTAATCAAGGGCATAGGTTCCACCACTATAAGGGCTAGTAGCTTCACTGTGTTCCATGGCCCCAATTCAAGAGACTTCTGTGCAAATATACACTACCAGTTACAGGAAAATCTAGATGTATGAATGCCGATGAATCAGTACACATTAGTACAAATCAGGTAAAACAAAACCAAAGACTAAAAAAGTGAACATAAAGAGCATTCCCTTTCCACAATCTATAGATTCAATACAATCCCTATAAAATACCAATGGCATTTTCCACAGAACTAGAACAAATCCTAAAATTCCTATGAAACTACAACAGACCCCAAATAACCACAGCAATCTAGAAAAAAAAGAACAAAGTTGGAATTATCAGGCTACCTGATATCACACTATACTTACAAGACTATAGTAATCAAAATAGCTTGGTACTGGCATAAAAACACACATAGACCAATGGGACAAAAAAGAGCCCAGAGGGGCTGGCTGAGTGGCTCAGTTGGTTAAGAGCATGAGCTCTGAGCAACAGGGTCACTGGTTCGATTCCTACATGGGCCAGTGAGCTGTGCCTGAGCTGCTGCTGAGCTGCCAACAGGTGGCAGGATGGTTCAGCTGGTGAGAGTACATGCTCCTAACAACAAGGCTGCCTGTTTGACTCCCCACATGGGATGGTGGGCTATGCCCCTCCACAACTTCACCTTGAGCTGAGCTGCCACCAGCTGCCGGAGGGCGGTCAGATGGCTCAGTGGTTAGAGCGTGCATCTCTAGCAACTAGGTTGGTGGTTCAACTACCACGTGGGATGGTGGGCTGCGCCCCCTGCAACTAAGATTGAATGCAGCACCTTGAACCGAGCAGCTGCGAGCTGCCTACGGGCAGTTGGATGGTGACTGGACTTGGAGCTGAGCTAGCTGCGCCCTCCACAACTAAGAGTGAAGGACAACAACTTGGCTGTTCCCCTTCCCCAATTCCCTAACACTGTTCCCCTTCCCCAATTCCCCAATAAAATCTTTAAAAACAAAAAAAAGAGCCCAGAAATGAATCCACAACTATATGGTCAATTAACCTATGACAAAGGAGGCAAGACTATACAATGGGGTAAAGACAGTATATTAAATAAACGGTGGTGGGAAAACTGGACAGACATATGCAAAAAATGAAACTAGACCACCTTCTTACACCATATACAAGAATAAACTCAAAATGGATTAAAGATTTAAATGTAAGACCCCAAACCCTAAAACTACTATAAGAAAACATAGGCAGTAAACTCTCTGACACTGTTATTAACATTTTTTTCTGCTCTATCTCCAAAGGCAAGGGAAATAAAAAGTAAACAAATGGGGCCACATCAAACTAAAAAGTTTTTGGACAGCAAAAGAAATCATCAACAGAACAAAAACACAACCTACTGAATGGGAGATATTTGCCAATGATACATCTGATAAGGGGTTAATATCCAAAAAAGAACTCATACACAGACCCAGAAATGGAGAACACAGAACAGAGGTCACACTATGAAGAGGACAGCTTACATTCAAGGATGTGTTCACAGAGTTCTCTCAGGAGGAGTGGGAATGCCTGGACCCTGGCCAGAGGGCCTTGTTCTGGGACGTGATGTTGGAGAACTACAAGATTGTGCTCTCCCTGGATATCTCTCCTCCACATGTGATCAAAAAATTACAACTAACAACCAGTAATACAGGAGAAGTATTCCAAACAGTGAGTGATGTTTGGAAAGCCTGAAGGCCACATGTAAGAGCTTAGGACAAAGACAGGTTCAAAGACTCATTCAATCGCATCCCAGCAAGTGGCTGAATCAGGATTTGAATCCATGTCGTCTGGCTGCAAAGACAAGCCTCTTAACAATGGTGCTACACTAACAAGGTGAATTATTTCTCTTCTTCAACTACTCAACATCTGTACTTAATTTTCGGAGTGTCTCTTGTCATTTTAAAATGGGTTATCTGCATAGATAATTGTGGTTATGGTAACTTTCTATTATGTGTATACTGTTATTTCCTAGGCTAATACTAGCAATGAATATTTAATTAAAGATACACTGATTACCACGTAATCCTACAGGAAAGATTATCCAAGGTGAAGTTGGATTGACTGAGGCAAGGATGGTTTACTATTATGATGGATAAGGAAGACACATTTCCCTTTAGCTACAAACAAGGGTAAAGTGATACCAACTACTGAGATAACTGCACAACGTGGTGGCTAGCTGAGCTACAGAACCAAAACATGAGTAAGAGATCAAACATTTCAAGGTAGAGAATAAATTACTCTTAATTACAGATCATATAATTATGTTTATTAATGGAAGACTACTACTATTATAAATATGTAATAATTATTCAATAGACTCAAAATATACATGTAACATTGAACTAAAAGCTATGGAAATGTGCACACTAAATTGATACAGTAGATAGATTTGTAGGCTAGGACTTAAACTGAATTTCAAAAATATAAATTTATTGAGATATAAAAAAAATAAAATAAAAATGGAAATAACTCATACCACTTAACACCAAAAAAACAAACAATCCAATGAAAAAATGGGCAGAGGACCTGAATAGACATTTTTCCAAAGAGAATATACAGATGGCCAACAGACATATGAAAAGATGCTCAAGGTCACTAATCATCAGAGAAATGCAAATTAAAACCACAATGAGATATCTGTTCAAACCTGTCAGAATGGCCATCAGTAAATCAACAAGCAAATGTTGGTGAGGAATGTGGAGAAAAAGAAACCCTCCGTGCATTGTTGGTGGGACTGCAAATTGTTACAGCCACTATAGAAAACAGTTTGAAGGCTCCTCAAAAAATTAAAAATAGAACCGTATGACCCAGCAATTCCACTTCTGGAATATTTACCCAAAGAATCCAAAACAGTAATTTGAAAAGATACATGCAACCCTATGTCCATTGCAGCATTATTTACAATAGCCAAGATATGGAAACAATCCAAGTATCCATCAATAGATGGCTGGTTAAAGAAGAAATGGTAGCTCTTCCTGCAAGCGGCCTGAGGTGACCTCTCGAATTGGTTTGCTATTCTCTTGACTCGGAGAACCCCACAAAATCATGTAAATCAAGAGGTTCGAATCTACGGGTTCATTTTAAGAACACTCGTGAAACTGCCCAGGCCATCAAGGGTATGCATATCCAAAAAGTCACCAAGTATCTAAAGGATGTCACATTACAAAAACAACGTGTGCCCTTCCGTCGTTACATTGGTGGAGTTGGGAGGTGTGCCCAGGCCAAACAGTGGGGTTGGACGCAGGTTCGGTGGCCCAAAAAGAGAGCAGAATTTTTACTGCACATGCTTAAAAATGCAGAGTAATGCTGAACTTAAGGGTTTAGATGTAGACTCTCTAGTCATAGAGCACATCCAAGTAAATAAAGCTCCCAAGATGTGGCACAGAACTTACAGAGCTCACGGACAGATCAACCCCTACATGAGCTCTCCTTGCCACATTGAGATGATCCTAACTGAAAAGGAACAAATTGTTCCTAAACCAGAAGAGGAGGTTGCACAGAAGAAAAAGATCTCCTAGAAGAACTGAAGAAACAAAAACTTATGGCCTGGGAGTAAATTCAACATCAAATAAATGCTAATAAAAGTAAAAAAAAGGGGGGCCAGCCGAGTGGCTCAGTTGGTTAAGAGCTCGCTCAAGAGTTTGAGCTCTGAGCAACAGCGGTTCGAGTCCAGCCTGAGCTGAGCAGCTGCTGAGCTGCCAACAGGTAGCAGGATGGCTCAGCTTAAAAAAAATAAAAAATAAATAAAAAATAAAAGTAAAAAAAAAAGAAGAAATGGTACATATATACAATGGACTATTACTCGGCCATAAAAAAGAATAAAATCTTATCACTCGCAACAACATGGATAGATCTAGAGGGTATTATGCTAAGTAAAGTAAGGTGGACAAAGACAAATACCATATGATTTCACTTCTATGTGGAATCTAAAGAAAATAAAAGAACAAACAAAACAGCAACAGACTCGTACATACACAGAACAAACTAATGGTTGCTAAATAGGAGAAGGGTTGGGGGGCTGGGTGAGAAAGATGAAGAGACTAAGAAGTACAAATTGGTAGTTACAAAATAGTCATAGGGATATAAAGCACAGCACAGGGAATATAGTAAAAAATATTGTTAATAACTATGTATGGTGCCAGATGGGTACTAAACTTAATCAGGGGGATCAGTTCGTTAATTATATAAATGTCTAACCACTATACAATATACCTGAAACTAATATATTAAGTGACAACTGTATTTGAAAAATTTCAAAAAAAGAGCATTTCCTTTCCAAGGTAAATACATGTCATTTTCATATATGAAGAAAATATTTATGAATGATGTCAATACAGTTATTTTGCCCCCTTTACCTATATCCCCGCCCTAGTTAAGGGAGGATAAGTGGGAATGAAGTACTCTGTAAGATAATTATATTGTAAAGCCTATTAGAGACAGACTGGCCTAATAAGCAAAGCAAACAAAAATCACAAATCTGTTCAAATTTCTGCTACTATATGTTTCTGCTATAATAGCCCTTTTTATATTAATGTTTCCTTATTATTAGGTTGTCAGAAAAGTCATGACGTATTTTTTCTGTTTTTCATTGCAAAATGCATCATGACTTTTCCAATAACCCAATAGAATAACAGATTAATTTCTCAAAATGCTTAAAAATCTGTAGACTGAACATTACAAGTGTCTATTAACTTCTGATATTGGTCTACAAAGAACGAAAATGAAATATTTTGAGTACTTAAAAAGTAAACATGAGTGTGCACAAGAAGAGTAAATGATTTCTAAATTCATAAGAGATAAAGGTTTATAAGACAAGTGTTTTTATATTAAAGTATATGTATTAAAGAATATATGTCAATGTCTTATTCATCTTCCTTCACCCCATGCTCTCCCTCTCCTGTGTGAACCACTTCTCCTCTCTTCCACTGCACCCACTAGATAAGTTATTTATTTGGGTACATGTGGGCCATTTTCGGTGGTCAGACCCTTGAAGATAAAGGTGATGATGTGTTTATCTTTATATTCATCATAGCCCAGGACAGTGCTGCATGCATTCAATATATCTTTGTCACACTGAATTAGGTGCAATACAACATGGGAAATAGTACAATAATTGGGGATGAAAAATGCCTATATTCTTTATTCCAGAAAAATGTTATGTTCTCTATAAAAAAATTATCCTGAGACAGAAGACTGATCCTAAGAGAATAACAACAAAGCATGACTGTACTTACAAGATGTCTGGGTCACTCCATTTGGTTAGACAGAGTTCCTCTAACAACTCTTCTTCATCCAAGAGCTCCAAAATCGACTCCTTGAAAATTTTAATATCTGTTTCTAACTCTGAAAGACTGTAAGAGTATTGTACAGAAATGATCAATAACATAAACTTATAAAAACTTGTCACTGTAAGAATAGTGTCTTGTTAGGGTATCTTATTAAGTAGATACATTCATGGTAAACAATGACTTGTAAAAAAGTATTTTGATCTTTACCATGCAGATTAAGAATCAATTCCCAAACCAAAGCTACATTCTAGAGCTGGACATAACATTTCATGCAAAATAGCTTTTCAGTAAACATTACTCTGTGTGCCCAATTTAGCTCAATTTCCACTGAGGCTACTTTCCTACTTTGAAGGCACTGAAATTAAGTCATTACCATTAGCAAGACTAGCTGGTATTTTAAAAACAGGTAATAATCACACTAATTTTGTATCTGAATTTACGCTAAACATTTCACTGTTAAAACTGCTAAAAGAGAAGTTTAAGATATTTGTGTCTAGTGGGCCAGCTGAGTGGCTCAGTTGGTTAAGAGCTTGCTCAAGAGGGCGAGCTCTGAGCAACAGGGTTGTTGGTTCGATTCCTGGCCCAAGCAGAGCTGCTGCTGAGCTGCCAACAGGTGGCAGGATGGCTCAGCTAAAATAAAATAAAATAAAAAATAAATTAAATAAAATAAAAAATAAATAAAATAAATTAAAATAAAATAAAATAAAAATGATATTTGTGTCTAAATCACAATGTTTTACCTTTTGCCATTCTGTAGTAAGATGTGTAGTTTGCTTCTGTCTACAGAAGAGTGTTTGGGATCCACTAAAGCTTCCAATGTGTCAAGGATCTGTGGCTTCAAAATGCTCAGTTTCCCCTGAAGGGTGTTGATCTAGATAACAACATGACTTTCATAAGAATCAAAACAATCTTTTTAGGGCCGGCCGAGTGGCACGATGGTTAAGAGCTGGCTTGGGATGCCAGCTCTGAGCAGCAGCGCCCCGGTTTGGATCCCACATGAGGGCCAGTGACGCTGCCCTCTACAGCTAAGATGGTGAACAACAGCTCAACCTGGAGCTGGGCTGCCATGAGTCGCCGGCGATGGCGTAGGCTGCAGCCCCTGCTGCAGTGGGCTGCGATAAGCTACCGTGAGCTGCCAAGAGCCGCCGTAAGCGGCCGTCCAGAGGCCAACAACGCATCTGCCTCACCCGGGAAGAGCGCAATGATAATACCAACATGGGCCAGTGAAGCAACATTCTCCACAACTAGACTGAAGAACAAAATGACTGCAACTTTTCTGTTCCCCTTCCCCAATAAAATCTTTAAAACAAACAAACAAACAAACAAAAAAACAATCTTTTTAGAATACTCAGGGTCAGGGAATCCTCTGATTAAATACAGAATTCTAGAATAGTTAGGATGGTTGATAACATTCCAGAACATGGCTGCTGCTGGAATGCCTACTGCAGATGATTCAAAAATTCGATCTCCTGCATTAAAAGATAACCATGCATTATGTTGTTACTAGGTTCTCATTTGATTGATAGGGAATTAAAACTTGTAAGAGTCTTCCTCCTATAAACACTTGTTATGAAAGGAATGGGAGATTGATTAATTAAAAGAAAATCTACCATTCCATGGTTAAAACGCAAACTTTACATCAGGTAAACAATACCAATGTTCTATATAAACAGAGTACAGTTCAAAATTCCTATGAACAAAACTCTTTGAAAATCAAAACAACTGGAACTTTAAAAAATAAAACAAATCAGTATTAAAGTCAAAAGTATACTTCTTATTATTCAGGTTAATGTAGGCACAGTTGATATTTAGCAGGAACGCACTGATATAGCTATAGCAGTTGTTAAAATATTGAAATACTGCCATACCAGTTGGTAAACAGCATAATAGTAACTGAATTAAGCAGTAAAATTAATGCTATAAATTTCAGCATATATTCTTTATCTGAGCATGAGCTCCGTGAGGGCTCACTCAGCCTGTGTAGCCTGTCACTGACCCTCATTTGCACCTTGTTTTCTTTCCCTCTCCTGCGTTTTCCCTGCTTAGTAACTGTGCCCTACCTAGCTGCCATCTCACTGGCTGGTACTAGCTGGTGCTATTGCCTAATTAACCCGAGCAGGGAATGCAGCTCCTCAGTACAGCGAGGCAGACAAAAGAGAAGAATGCCAGGTTCACCCAATCCACATCTGCCTCAGGTCCCATGTCCCCTCTACCCTCCTCCTCTTCCCACTCCGCTTAGCATGCTCTTAGCATCAACTCTTGCATGCAGCCCATTCCTGAATAGTACTATCCTGACTAATAGAGGGAGGAAACGATAATGAAAGATTTGTAGGGTCCAGGAAAGAAGTTGACAATCCTTGTGTGGGGCCTGAAAGGATCCTGACACCCAATGACTATCAAACTTAATGGGGGAGTCAGATGTGTACATGTTTCTTATGTCAAAGTAGGTATCAAACAGAAGCCATGATTTAGCTGTTTCAAACAAAGGATTGTACAAAGAATGATTTGGAAAGTATTAGAGTGATTTGATGAATGATTTGTGCTATAATATTTAACATGTGTAAGAACCTTTACAATATACATACAATTTTATAGAGAACAAAATGGAATACATTTAAAACTTTTTTGACATGTTCATTTATATCTTATTTAGGATAAGTACTTTGAATTATCACCCCTGAATACAGGTATTAAAATTGTATGAAGGAGAGCCAACTTGAAATGTGCTTTACTTAATGTCATAACACGATTCTCAAAGAGATTCTATACATAATACTACACGTAGAGACTTTTAGATCTGATTGGGTCATAAAGTTTAACAATTAAGTATATTCTCCATATAGGACCCTTAGAGATGTTTTTGTCTCGGGTGAGCATATGGTTAGGGAAAGTGCCATTGAAACAATACCAACTGGTCTTTCTACTCAATAGCATTTTAAAACCAGAACAAATTCAAGATGCTAAGTAAAAACAGGCTTACCCAATACTGTAGGAGTGCTTCTATAGCTCTAAACTCAAAAGGTAAAGGGTATGTGACAAGTTGACCTTCTCCAGCCAACTGTGAAGGGAGTTCCCGGAACAGCCATTGCTCTAGATTTAAATTACGATAATCTAGTATCAGAAGACATTCTGGAGTTATGACAGCTTTCAAATACTGTAAAAATAAAAAAAAGAAATATATATGTACATACACATATACACATGCATATATGTATCGCAAGTTGTAGGAAAAATAGAACATTCATAAAATAGGATTTAATACTCTCTTAATTTTGGATTAAGCCTAAACCAAATAACTGTCCATTTGGTTTTTCAAAAAAAACCCAAGACATATTTGGTTTTGAATAAAACAAAAAAAACAAGGTATCTATTTAAAGAAAGGAAGCCTTGATATCTCTAACTCACTCTCAACAGACCTGGAATTAAAGAAATTATGTATTTATTAAGACTTCCAGGGTAATTGTGAGAAAAATAGGGAATAAAGGAAACAAGATCTTCTTAAAAATCATACATTCAGTACACTTTACAAAAAGATTTAAAGATTCATGATTAGTTTGGCTGAAATGGGAAAGTTTCCCTTTTAAAATATCACAAAATCTTATCAAGCTAATTTTAAATTATGAAGATAAAACTTATTAGCCTTAGAACTGTAATTTAGAGCACTATGGACTTCTGGTCAAGATGGAGTAGATAAATGCTGTGCTCACCTCCTTTCATGACCACATCAAAATTACAACTAAATGATAGAATCACCCTCGAGAAGCACCCAAAGACTAGGTGAAGAGAAGTCCTATAACTAAGGATATAAAGAAGCCATGTCAAGACAGACAAAAGGGGCTGAGACACAAAATAGGCAGGTTTCACACCCAGGGTGCAGCGATTAAGAATCAGGAGGGATGGGTCGGCTGAGTGGCACATTGGTTAGGAGTTGGCCTGGGACGCCAGCTCTGAGCAGCGGGGCCCTGGTTTGGATCCCACATGAGGGCCAGTGACGCTGTGCCCTCTACAGCTAAGATGGTGAACAACAGCTCGATCTGGAGCTGGGCTGCCAAGTTGCCGGCGACGGTGTAGGCTGCAGTGAGGCTGGACTGCAGCCACCGAGAGCTGCTGTGGGCTGCTGTGGGCGGCTATCCAATAGCCCACAAGCGACTGCCTCACCCGGGAAGAGCGCAATGATAATGCCAACATGGGCCAGTGAAGTTATGTCCTCCACAACTAGACTGAAGAAAAAAAGGATAGGAACTCATCTGTTCCCCTTCCCAATTCCCCAATAAAATCTTAAAAAAAAAGAATCAGGAGGGATATTTCAGCTGCGGAGGTCCCCTTGAGGAGCAAGTGGTCCTAGCCCCACACCAGGCTCCCCAGCCCACAGCACCAGTGCTGGGAACAGTTCCCACAACATCCAGCTATGAAAACCAGTGGGGACTGTATCTGAATGAGGGCTGCTGGCATTTTACTTGAGGGGCCCGTGCATGGACTCACTCCCTCACAGACTCACTCATTCTGGGCTCCAGTGCAGGGACTCAACTTGCATTATAACTCCCATCAGATGGCTGTAAGCCTGACATAAGCTGGAGCCAGAGTTGGCTTGGCTTGTAGCTTTAACTAAGTGGCAGCAAACCCGGTACAAGAAGGGGCTGGCCTCAGTTCACATTATGGTGCCCACCAGAGTCCCAAGCCCAGAGCTAGTGGCAGCTGGCCTCAGCTCACAGCACAGCCTCTCCCAATGCCTGCAAGCCCAGCACAAGTGGCAATCAACTGCAGGCCACTTTGGAGCTCCCACCAGGCAGCCTGAAGCCAGGCACAGGCGGTGAATGACCTTGGCCTGCACCGCAGCTGCTTCCAAGAGGCCCCAGAACCAACAGACCTGGTGGCCAGCTTCAGATAACACCAAAGCACCACCTAACCACCTACACAAACGACATACCCGAAAAGCGGACTCAGCTGGCACTAGAGCCCCACTAAAGTGACTTCTGCTCCATGAGGTCCGTCCTGGCACAACAGCTGGTCCTCTGTAGTCATGACCAGCCCTCGCAGCTGGTCAGCCTGGGGGGTCAATCCCACCCACTGATGCGCCAACAGCAATCAAAGCTCAACTACAACAATAAGACACAAACAACCCACAATGGGGACACCCTAGAACACCCGCTCAGGTGAGCAGAAACTGCCCCACCACTGGTTCCCATCTTCTACTTAAGGCCACTCTGTCGAGATGGAAGATGAAGCCAATCTACCTAATATATAGAAACAAACACAGGGAGGCAGCCAAAATAAGGAGACAAAGAAACATGTCTAAAATGAGAGAATAGAACAAAACTCCAGAAAAAGAACTAAACAAAATGGAGACAAGAAATCTACCAGATAAAGAGTTCAAAACACTGGTTATAAGGATGCTCAATGAACTTTAGGGGAGGAATAGAGGAACTCAGTGAGAACTTACACAAAAAGATAGAAACCATAAAAAAGAACCAGTTGGAAATGAAGAATACAGTAACAAATAAAGAATACATTAGAGGAAATCAACAACAGATTAGATGAAGCAGAGGGTCGAATCAGTAATCTAGAAAACATAGTAGAGAAAAATACCAAATTGAACCAAACAAAAAGAATTTTAAAAAATGAGGATAGTTTAAGGGGTCTCTGGTACATCAAGCGTACCAACATTTGGGCCGGCTGAGTGGTGTGTTGGTTAAGAACTGGCTTGGGATGCCAGAGGCCCTGGTTCGGATCCCACATATGAGGGCCAGTGACACTGCCCTCTGCAGCTAAGATGGTGAACGGCAGCTTGACCTGGGGCTGGGCTACCATGGGTCGCTGGCGACGGCGTAGACTACAGTCCCCTGCTGCAGTGCGTTGCCATAAGCTACCGTGTGTAGCCGGCAGTCATCATGAGCGGCCAGCAGCTGTGGTAAGCAGCTGTCTAGAGGCCGGCAACTGATCTGCCTCGCCCGGGAAGAGCGCAATGATGGTGCCAGCTTGGGCCAGTGAAGCAACATCCTCCACAACTAGACTGAAGANGGCAACTGATCTGCCTCGCCCGGGAAGAGCGCAATGATGGTGCCAGCTTGGGCCAGTGAAGCAACATCCTCCACAACTAGACTGAAGAACAAAAGAACAAAAGGATAGCAACTTGTCTGTTCCCCTTCCCCCGATTCCCCAGCGCTGTTCCCCTCCCCCAATTCCCCAATAAAAATCTTAAAAAAAAAAAAAGTACCAACATTTGCATCATAGGGGTACCAGAAGAAGAGAGAGAACAAGGGATTGGAAACCTATTTGAAGAAATAAAAACTAAAAACTTCCCTAACCTGGCGAAGGAAACAGACATACAAACCCAGGAAATGCAGAGTCCCAAATAAGATGAATCCAAAAAGGCCCACACCAAGACACATCATAATTAAAATGCCAAAGGCTGAAGACAAAGAGAATCTTAAAAGTAGAAAGAGAAAATCAGTTAGTTATGTACAAAAGAGCTCCCATAAGACTGTCAGCTGATTTCTTAAGAGCAACTTTGCAAACCAGAAGTGATTGGAACAAAATATTCAAAGTGATAAAAAGCAAAGACCTAAACCAAGATTGCTCTACCTAACAAGGCTATCATTTAAAATCGAAGGAGAAGTAGTTTCCAAGACAAAAAAATAGCTGAAGGAGTTCATCAATACCAAACCACAAGAAATGTTAAAGGGATGTCTTTAAGCAGAAAAGATAAAAATATGAATAAAAAAATATAGGAAAGAAAAATTTCTCACTGACAAAGGCAAACAGTAAAAGCAGTGGATCAACCAACTATAAAGCTAGTATAAAGGTTAAATGGCAAAAGTAGGAAAAACATGTGTAATTACAATAAATTGAGACACACACACACACACAATAAAAGAAGTAAAAAATGACAAAAACATAAACACGGAGGGGGTGAGTAAAAATAGTAGCGATTTTAAAATGCGTTCGAACTTAAGTGACCATCAACTTAAAATACACTGCTATAAACCTATAAACACAGCATGGTATACATGAAGCACATGGTAACCACAAACCAAAAATCTGCAAGAGATATACAAGATATAAAGAAAAAAGAATCCAAACATGATACTATATAATCAACATACAAGAGAGTTAGAGAGTAAGGAACAGAAAAGAACTACAAAAACAATCAAAGCAATTAATAATATGGCAATAACTGCATACCTATCAATAATTACTTTAAATGTAAATAGACCAAATGTCCAATCAAAAGACACAGGGTGGTTAAACGGAGAAAAGCACAAGACATATGCTGCCTACAAGAGATACACTTTAGATCAAGACTCATACAGACTGAAAATGAAGATATTCCATGCAAATGGAAATGAAAAAAAAGTTGGAGTAGCCATACTTATATCAAACAAAATAGACTTTAGAACAAGGGCTGTAACAAGAGACAAAGAAGGGCATTTCATATTAATAATGACATCAATCCAATGGGAACTCTCGTAAATATCTACACACCCAATGTAGGAGCACCTAAATATATAAAGCAAATATTGATGGATACAAAGGGAGAGATTGACAGTAATATAGTTATCGTAGGGGACTTTAACACCCCATTGACATGAATGTATAGATCTCCAGACAGAAAATCAATAAGGAAACAGTGGCATTAAGTGAACATTAGATAAGGTGGATTTAATTGATATTTTTCAAGTATTTCACCCAAAAGCAGCAGAATATACATTCTTTTTTTTTTTTAAGGATTTTTTATTGGGGAATTGGGGGAGGGCAACAGCACTGGGGAATCGGGGGAAGGGGAACAGACAAATTGCTGTTGTTTTGTTCTTTGGTCTAGTTGTGGAGGATGTTGCTTTACTGGACCAAGCTGGCACCATCATTGCGCTCTTCCCGGGTGAGGCAGATCAGTCGCCGGCCTGTGGATAGCCGCTCACGGCGGCTGCTGGCCGCTCACGCTGGCTGTTGGCTACACACGGTAGCTTATGGCAACCCACTGCAGCAGAGAGCTGCATCCTACACCGTCGCCGGCGACTCACGGCAGCCCAGCCCTAGGTCAAGCTGTCATTCACCATCTTAGCTGCGGAGGGCAGTGTCACTGGCCCTCATATGTGGGATCCGAACCAGGGTCCTCTGGTGTCCCAAGCCAGTTCTTAACCAACACGCCACTCGGCC